TGTACAGCTTTTTCAGTTTTAGTAGCAAATACGTCAGAACAAATGTCACATTTGTATGGATTGCGACCAGGAAATTGTCTCTTTTGGTCAGCTAACTTTTGTCTTTTAACAAAAGCTGTGCAACATATTTTACAATTGTAATACATTTGTTTATCAGCTGATAGTTTCCGTACAAGGTGCAAAATGTCCTCAAAATCTGCATTACATTTGTCACATTTATATATTATTTTCCCAGTATTCGGTCTTTTAGATGCAGCTACTTGTGAATGTCTGTGTTCCAGGTTTAATGAAGAAAATGTTGCTTTAGATATAGCTACATCTGATTGTCCATGTTCCTGGTTTGATGAAGACATTATTTCTTTAACATTTCGCTGATATAGTGTTTTCTCTGGTTTCTTACAGGAAAAAATCTCTTGACAACAGTTCAATTGATCTACTGCTAATTTATCAAAGATATTTGTTGAAACACATTTAGTATGCTTGGTTAAATATGACCTTGTTTCAAACTTCTGATTTTTGCAAAATGTGGGCTCCAGTTTAATTTTTGCATTGACTAGTTTAAAATCATCATATATTTCTTTCTTTAAAAGTTTATTATAGTCAGTATTTTTCTCTGTCACATTGACTAAATGGTCACAATCTAGGTCTTGCCTTGCATTGATGAGTTTAACATCATCATAAATTTCATTCTTCAGAAGTTTATTATAGTCAGTATTTATTGCTGCCACATTGACTAAATGTATTATCAGTATATTCAGGAAAAATTAATGCAACAAAATCAAATAAAGACATCATTACATTATTTTGAGTCTCAAAACAGCTACATTTATTATAATTATTAAAAATATAATTATGGCACGTACCGAAAACTACATTTAAATCAAATGGTTTAAATCTTCTGTTGAGTAGAGAAGAGTTTATTTTGCTTGTTCTATTTATTTCAAAGCATGATAGGTTTTTATTTATCAAAATAAAAAAAGTTATAGTGGGCTGTGGCGAACTATAAGATGCGAAGTGGGTGACCGCCCGGACGACATTTTTTCTTAATTATAAATTATAACATTATTTCATTATATAAATGGTGTGTTGGGAAAGGGGGGGGGGGGGGGGGGGGAGGGCGCACTTCTGAGAGTTAACCCAAGTAACGTATACAGTAAAGATGTACAGAATCGTTGTCAGTGGAAATAGTAATGAAAAATGAAACCTACTTTCACCGGAAGTAAACAAAGGACTTCGTTTGGTTTTAAATAAGGCATAAAACGTGGTTGTATCTTACAACTTACTGAATTGGTATCTGCGAAAACATCTTTGTGTTAACACTAGCTGTCAGCTGAGTTAGTATTCGTGTAACGATAGGTAGATCTATAAAAGATAAACCTGACTTAATATTAAGGCTATTCCTTTAGTCAGTCTTATTTCAAATCGTTGATAATACCAAAAACTCAATCACTTCAAAGAAAATATTATAATTATTAATTAATATATATAATTTAATATTATTTATATGGTGTAAGGTGTATGGTCCATGGTGGTGTGTGCAGTGGGGTAGCTAGGGGGAGTGCGGACCGTACCGGGTGACAATATCTCAGGGGGATGACACCAAATTGAAAAATTGCATGTTTACTGAGTACACACTGCTCGGTTGGCTAATGCTAGTGCTAGTTGAGGATGCCACGTCTTTTCAGTGTTTATTAAAGTTGCCATGAAGTAGGGTTCAGGTTAGGTTTAATAGGGATACACAGTGGCGTAGCGAGGCAGGTGCGGGGGTGCGGACCGCACCGGATGACACCATTTTAGGGGTGACACCCGATTGAAAAATTGCATATTTACAGGGCACACATTGCTTGCAAAAACCGAGATTCATCAAAAAAAAACCGATCACACATATATTATTCACAAATCACAAATGTAACCAATCTAAAATGCATGCTTTATTAAAAGTTCAAGGTTAATGCTATACTGTGGACTTATTTTAACAAGATTCAAGGTTAATGCTATACTGTGGACTTATTTTAACAAGAAAAATCGATCATAGAAGTTTAGGGGGGGGGGGGTGACACCATGAGTTTACCGCACCGGGTGACACCAACCCTAGCTACGCCATTGGGGATACATTTAGGGTTCAGGATAGGTTTAGGGATACATTTACTTAGCTTTAGTGACAGTGACAGAATTAACTGGTCTTCACAACCAAGATGCCGGCCAATGATGGCAGCCTCTCTCAACATTTACCGCTCGGTTTAACAGAGTTTCATAGAATAACTGATCACAAGTAAATTTTCCACAACCAAGCCCATGTGCCATGTGTGCTTTATTATTAATGTTAAATTTAAGGCCGGCACTACGTACACGGCGGCGGTGTACCTAGCGAAACTATTGACTTTGGCCCGCGTACACCGCGGCGGTGTACCTAGCTAAATCATTGTCTGTGGCCTGCGTACACAGCAGCAATTTAAAGTAGCAAAGCCATGGTCTTTGCGAGTCTTAAACTTTTTGGCCTAACTGGTACTTGTAGATTTAATGTTATACTCTTGTTAAAAATGGAAACTATTTATTGAAAATCGTTGAGTACCTTGGGAGGAAGCTTTTGAGTAAGTTCCACGCTTATAACTTATGTGGCTAAGTACTTGTAGACTTGTAGAGCATTGCTTTATTTATTGGAAGGGAGGGGGCTGGGGGTGTAATGTTATAGATTGAATGTTATACTCTTGTTAAAACTGGAAACTATTTATTGAAAATCGTTGAGTACCTTGGGAGGAAGCTTTTGAGTAAGTTCCACGCTTATAACTTATGTGGCTAAGTACTTGTAGAGCATTGCTTTATTTATTGGAAGGGAGGGGGCTGGGGGTGTAATGTTAAACCATGATTTATTTTTAAAGTTAACCACTTTATTTCCCCCCATATATTGAAATACAATTATATTTATTAATTATTAAAGTTTTATCCTATGATTGTGAATCTTAATAAGCATAAAAAGGGTAGTTTATTTTAATTTTTTCTCCCCCCCCCCCCCCCCCCCCCCGATTGTTTTTTTTTTTTGGGGGGGGGGCTGGTGGGAGGCATGATAATAATAACATTGTATGTGATTCCTTGGAGCGTGGTGTAAAAATGAATGGGAAGCCAGTGTATCCATTTTGTTAGCACCAAGATATAATTACGCCACAAATACATTACGGGAAGAGAATCACATTCATTGATCATGAAGTCGTGAAGTTAAAGTTGTCCCAGGCATTGTCATTGTGATATCAAGCGATTGTCAACACACAACAACAGTATGATGATCAATACGAAACACTGCAGTGATTGTTAAAAGTCTTTTAACAATAATTAAATATCATTAAATTAGT